CTGAAGTCAACTAAAGGGCTAATGATAACCATCAAAACGCCTGCCATTTGGTATAAATAAACTTTCGGTACCGAAATTGGCCATAGCATTGTGGAAAAGCGTACAGTTTTAATCATAGAAAGTGGCAATAGACAAGACCAATAGATAAAAGGCAGATAAAAAGGTCAAGTTAATGAAAGCATGTAGTTGTCCAACATCACCAAAAGAGTAGAGTGAGATAAGTAGTGTTGAAACTTTAAACCTAGATTCATGTACGATGTTACATGGAACATATTTCGAATTTATTGGAAAAAAGGTGATTTATTTCCTTCGTCAGCCACGATTACGACCAAGATCTGGCACTAAAACAACGATATTTTGAAGTTATTGCCCTCGATAATGGTCTATTTGTGTCCAACAAGAACAACTGTCCTTCAAGAGAGCTGGCGTGTTTTACATTTATCTTCCTCCTTTCGAGCCCTATTAACTATCATTATCCTTTTTCAACAGTAGCAAAAACGTCAAAAAATAAAGTACTGCTTGATTTTAATGAAATTGTTCGAACTATGTGCCAATATCTCCAGTCACATCATTTTAAACTTTTTCCTCCAATTTAGTAACTTCCCACTCCGTTGTTGAACAATAAACTTCGCCAAAACGAAATCACCGAAAAGACACCCATAATCTAAAAGACAAGAAAACGTAGAGAGAAAGAGGAGCTAAAGTGGAGATTTATTACCAGCGGGAGGTGATGTTGTTAGCAGGCGGTTAAACAAACTGGTGAATGAGCAAAAATTGAATATTTTTTGGCCCCAATGCAACTCTGCTTCTCTTTCACTCATTTCACTTGCAGAACCAGATTCTTCCTTTGCCTGTCTTCCAAGGTGCGCGCGTACAACTACACTGGTGATTAATGGCTCTTTTGCGTGACATCTCATGTGTCCAGAATGCTTGTGAATGTCCTGGTTAATCCGAGATCTCTGGGAGCTCTGCATGTTTGCACATGTGGCGACATGGATAGGGTAGACTGTATTTCCTCTATCATTATTATTTCTCCTCAACAAAGCATTTCATGGGAAGAGTTATTGTTGAAATATCTACATTACATTTACAATTAACATTTTGATGGAAAGTTAATAATTCTCAACCTTTTTCTCAATACCCATAGCTATAAGCTTAAATGGAAATGTGTTTTAGGCTGTTTCTGAACGATAGGATAATGGAATTCGCAAATCAATCGATGGCTATGCACGATTAAAGTAAGCAGAGAATATACAATTTTGAATGCTCCGTTGAAAAAGTAATAAAGTGGATAACAATATCATTAATTAACTTCTAAGTGTAAAACAAACAAATATAGTTGGGCAAAAGTGTTTTAAATTAAGGAACTCTTGAGAAAGATATGATAGTTCACATAATTATATGTCAAAACACCTATTTCCTCTTCGAAATTAGTTAAAGTATACATGTTGTGAGTTTGCTCAAAATCCTCGACTCAAGTATAAGAAAGTTCATGTAATATCTTCATTGTCCCTTTATGACCAAACGGCAAAAAAGGGTAATCATGAGTAAATGTTTAGAATCAGTTTTTCCCATTTATGATCTTCCAACGCGCATTGGACGAAACTACAAGAAAAACTTAGTTCAAATGTTTACGGTCCCTTTAACACAGTTTGGATAAGTCCATAATAATTATATCCAAAGAATTTTAAGCCCCTATTTTGGAATTGTCACCTTCGAATTTAAATAAGATAAAAATGAAACTGACGTCGACCGATATTTCATTCACCAATGTGCTGGAAGTGTATAGCCAGTAATCCATGCAAAATTTATTCCGGTGGAGTGGAGATAATAAAAGTCGTTATCCCCCTTTTATTCAGTAAAAATAAATCCTCTTATTATCTGTCATTTAGTATCGTAGCTCAAAATTTTGATTGACACCTAGAAGCCTTCAGCAAACTTATCGTGAAAACATATCGACAACTAGAGATTATTCTAACAAAATACAAATTTAGGTCTTTGCTTTAAAATAATGAAAAGTTAAGTTAGTTTATTTTACATAAGTGAATGCGTATAAGGGAATCTAAATATGGCAATGATAAGGATGTTTTGTGGAAAACTGAAAGCAGTCAGGGGTATATACATGAAAGAGCTTTTAAGTTAGTTAGTTAGTAATCGCCTTCAAAATCCAAAAAGCAAGGAGTATTGAAAAGAATTTGGTTTCAAGAAAATTAAGCACGTTTGCTGTGTTCGTTCGTCTTGTATTATCTTGAAGACTTCTTTGCCAAGCTAAATATGCTTCCTGCGAGTGAAAAGATGCAGAATAGGCAGCGTAAACCGGTCGAAATATCTTCTCATCCACAAGGCGCTGTTGAAAGACATTCCATATTTCATTAGCGGTTGTGCCTTCTATGGCATCCCAATCAATAACAATTCCAACAGAAGTTGACAAAAATTCCGGGAGCATTGATTCGAAGGAAAGACAGTATTGTGCACCACTGGTATTTGGACGAAACATTTCAATTGAACAGGAGCCTGCAAAATCATCTAGGGTAGCCAGTCGATCATTAAAGCCATGTGGTCCTACACGAAGTTCAAGAACATGGATATCTTCGTAGTCGCTTTGTTCCTCCAGGCGCCAGACAACTGAACTACGCTCATGAGGTGTGAAACTAGGCATCCTCTGGCTCACCACACGTCTTTTGAAACGTCTGTCTGAAGCAAAAGACGGAAGGCGTGTCAACAATTGCTCTTATTAGAGGAAAGGAAATAGGGGTCACGATATTAAAGCATCAGTTTCGATGTAGCAGAAGGGGTTTTAAGAGAATGGGGAGCATACAAAAGGGTGTAAATACAATTTCATAGAAATTAGAGCCGAAAAGGACTCAAATATGTCAAAAGGAAATGCACAAAAATGGCGTACAAATAAACCATCAATAATCAAAAGATTTAAAATAAGGCTTTGATTTTCACATTTTGGAAATTTGAAAATGTAAGTAAACATAAGGTAGGCAGAGTAGAGCATGCCTTTGGGAGTTAACTGATGATTATAATGTCCCCGATTCTAATGACTAAATAACTCCGCAGCTTTTTTCACTTCTACATCTCTGTATCTATCATATGACACTTTGCCCTCTGTTCAATATTTATTTTCAAATCTCTATAGGGCACTCCACCTTAATCCAAGAAATTGCGCCTTGGTTAAATGTGGTATGTAGAAGTGGGGATTGCACAGCCAGTCCTGTTTCAGCATCAACTGTATTAGTGTTGCGTGATAAGGATCATAAATTCCATTTGCTTGAAATCTTGGCAGTCTAGCACGAAACGGTAAACATTATCTTCTGAGTCAGCTACGTAGCATTAGAAATTGTGCTTCCATTGAATAGGAATCGTTTTCGAAATCGATAGATCAGTCTCAAGTGATTTACTTAGAATGGCCTCTCAATTGGTATGATATGGCCAATCATTGAAATTTATCAAACCTTCAAAAGATTTGAATTTGGCAAAATTCAGAATTCACGATTTGAACTATGAAACACTGAAACATTATGGGACACTCCACTCACTTCGAATGGAAATTACATCCCGCTTCCAAAAGGAGTTGAATAATGACTCTTTTATATCCTTCAATAAGCCTCAAATTCAGATTGTCTTCCACCCCTTCATTTCTTCTAAGACTGTCCAAATTGTCCTGCATTTGGATGCTTTCAAGCCAATTGAAATTGAAAAATACTTTGTCTTATCAATGACGATTTCTAAATAGACAAGCGCACAGTATATTGTTAACATTCCCATAAAGTTGTCTAATAATGATGAAGGCTTTTATATTGTAATAATTTAGGAATCAAATTCCTTCTTGAAGCGCTCATATCTTGAATACTGTTAAAATCTTGAGCCTGGAACTCAGGGGATTCTCTTTCTATTGCCAACCTCAATTCTTGAGTTCAATTGACTTAATAAATAATATGATTAGAAACTCTACTAGATTGTGCCACTAATAGGTAGCTTTGACTGTTCAATCTGTGAGTCTGATTTCTTGCAGGAATGCAAACTGAAATTTAACGCAGTTATCTCGTAAAAGTTTTATGAGCGATTGATAATACATAAAATTCTGAACCACTTCGCTATTATTTGACTGTTTGAACGTTTGAAGGGGTGGCTGCGTCGTGTCGGAGAGTCAATTCAAACAGTTCTGAATATTGAGGGCTTGAACAATCAGCCAAATGACAATCCCATGAATTTCGAAATTAAGTACCCCAATGTAGAATCTTAGGGGTTAGTTTGTAAAGTTCTGTTTTGGGTCCTCAATGAACCCAGTATCTTGTTGCAAAAACGGAAAATTCAGATCATTTATAATTCACTTAAAGTGTAAATTTTAACTTCTTTCTTTTTCTTGCGATTGCTTTATTTCAGTTTTGCATTTAAACAACCCTAGTGATTTCCACTAGCAAAAATGGAAATTATTTTTTATTAATAAGGATTGTAATTTTTAATCTTCTCTATGAAGTTTCTCTATTTTTTATTGAAGGCATAGTTTCTTGGCAGAACTAGAAATCAACTATAAATGATCCTGCCTGCCCGAAAGAACCCTCACCTAACAGAACAACGATTTTAGGTTGTTTCTCAACAAAACTTCTCATTTTTCTATGCATATTAAAAATCTATATTTCACTAAAAATTATTTTATTAATCTTTATTGATTCGGTCCTCTAAACAAATATTTGTCAAATTGTAATTTATAGCGTATTCACCAAGCTTTTTTAATGGTTACCAAGATCAATATTACGTTTAAGTTAGTATTTATCTAAGCGAATGCTTAAAGCATTGGTCTGAAGCAAGCTTTCTTCAACTCGATTTTTGGTTATTTTCGGCCACTTAAAGAGAAGTATTTGTTGATCTGTTATGACCAGCCTCTCAATTCTATCTATTGTTCAGTTAGCTGCAGAGTTTCAATTGCAGTACACGAAGGGACAGATTCTGAAGCTTGAGATTAGGAACATTATGATGCGATGCCACTGAGAAATAAGAGTGAAACACGGGTATTCATGGGATGCACAGTGCCTTTGATGTGCTGACCGAAGTTCCACATTTCAGCTAATTTTCCAAGTAAGGTTTTCTGAAACTTTACTTTACTTGACCATTTCGATGTTATAATTTCAAATTACGCTGTTTAAATGATTTCTCGCTCACATGGGATTCCCAATTTGGGATACGGTTTTACAAACTATGGAAGAATTTGGATATGGCTCTTCTTAGATTGTCAAATATCAAAAGTGCAGATTTTCACTTGGACTTACTGTAGGGAAATATCCTTTGGTAAGGAACATTTTAAAGCTCTTAAATGAGCTTCGAGATGTTTTAATTTGATGAAAAAATTTAATCGATAGAACTCTTTTTGTTAAATTTAAAACACACTCTCCCAACTCAAAATATTCTGCTATCACAGTGGTATTTTTAATACAATCATCTCCTCTATCTTAAAATATCACTTCACTTAATCAAGATTTTTCAAATGAACCAAGGCGATTATGAATACTAAAATCAAATTATTGTCAGATTTTTGCTTCTTAAATTTGATGCAAATATGAAGTAAATGTTCCACTTATTTGAGTAAAATGGTCATTAAATAGTAATATATGGTTTTGGCTAGCCACCTTAAAATAATGATCTGTGTTATTTTGACTAACCATAATAAAATGATTTGAGCGAATCAACGCGCTGCAATTGATCATCATGTTGTCAAAAATTACTTGGAAGAGCACATTTCAACTTAATTTGCCCCTTTTTACTATAAACAAATTTGTGGAAAGATTTATTCGGTACTTAACTTGCTGGAAATAAGCTTTATTAACTGAGAAGGCAAGGGGTTCAAACATAGTTATTATTTGTTCACCCTACTGAAAAGTGTTCAAATTCACAGACCATTACATTTTATCTTTCGATAGTCTCAATTATAAATAGTTATAATCCATAGTTTCTTGCTTTTAAGTTTCGCAGAAAGTGTTCGAAATTTTCTTTCGCTCAGGTTCAAGACCTCGCGTTTGCATTTGCCAACAGCTAAATTCTTGTCAAAGGGGCCTAAGATAAAACCCTGCAAGGGTGCTAATATTGATACAATGAGAAGACTCGATAGTTATTGGTGGGATTATTACTGCTTTGGATTAATTTAGAACGATTTAAAGCTAGGCCCTGCTACCCTGAAAAGAGCTAGCGAAATGAACGTAACATTAATAAACCCATTCTGATTTACAATACAATAAATGACACTAAATCAAATAATAGGGAACTTACGAGCAACAATATTTTCGTTTACTTCCGATGAGATTCCAGGAGGTCCTCTGGGTCCTGTAGGTCCTCGAAGACCCGGTGGTCCTTGTGGCCCTCTGGCTGCTCTAACCGGAATTCTGATCCTTCGCGAAGACCTTGAGGTATCACTTCCATTGTGCTGAGATGTAATTCTTACATTCTGGTGCGCTGGAGCTGTACATTCTATCTGTAGGTGACATTCAGACAAGGCCGTTTGTGGAGTATTGCTCTGAGCTGTAGGGATGGAGTCATAGCCAGGTTTTGGAGAATGGCTGATGCAAAACTGAAATAGAGCTATTATGAGGATAGTAACTTGTAAGCCACACATTATATTTCTTGTAAAGTGGTAATTCTGGTTGTTTTAAAAGTGAGAAAAGTTAGTGATGTTCCCCTTGAAATTCTTAATCGTTCATTGGTTAGTCGTCTCGAATCGAGTAATCTGATTGGCTATATTTATCTCAGACATTTGTTGAGTCTAGTTCGGAAAGTGCACTTGAGTTGTTCGTGGAGGTGACAAAATTTGATAATAATTTTTTTGTGCGAAGCTTTGGTTCCTTTTTTATGTCTGAATAAGTATTAAAGTAATATGGTACCTTAGAACTGGAAAATTTATTTTCTTTGGTTCATGCCATCGAATTTACCAAAGAAAAGAAAAGAAATTAACTTCGAGAATAGAATAAATTGTTAATTGGGTTTAAGTTTTATCTTACCGGAAAGCGACGCCAATCAAACGTATTTAGGTATATTTAATTATTCAAAGGAGGCCAGTTAAGGATTATCACCTTTCCGTGCAAATGATTAAATTGGAACTAACTCTGATTTTCTTAACAGTATTTTTATGAACATTTTATTTTGGATTTGGGGTGAGTTATTTTAGTCATACTGGCTTCAGTATAGCATAGAAACTCACCCCATATATATATATCTATAAAGATACTGCTATTATTTATTGAGTAAAAATAATAAATGGGCACATGTACGTGCACATTTGGAAGCAAAAGTATCATCCAAATTCTCGTATTACTATAGTGAAGGGCAGTGACATTCAATTACTTCAAGGTATAAATCTTATTTCAGTTGGTCAGAATGCCCAGTCTCAAAGAAGGTACCGAAACCTTTCCACTAATACTTGCACAACTCAAATCCTTATCAAGCACATACGGAAACATCTAAATAATATGCTATTAGTTCAGGATCCTTGGCATGACTTTATGAGGCATATAGGGGAGAACCTTGTTTTACATTTTCCCCTTTTGAAATTGTGTTGACATGTCAATATTTCAATTAGGGACAAAAGGTCGAGTCACTTCTTTAATACTAATTATCTCCTTCTCTAATCACGGTATCCTCAATACCAGCGATAAATTTCGAAGTAAATATGGATAAAAGACCTTTTGCACAAATCGATGCGACTAGATAAGATGAATGACAAATTTCTAATTTTACGGAGAATTAGAACAGAAAATAATTGATTAAATAGTTTAAAATAAGTCATGTATAAATGGGGACTGGAATTAATATGACTCTCACCTGGCCTTAATATTATTAAATTAATGCCCACAGAGCGCTATGGGAGAAATCTAACAGCCTTACCCCTCTGCCTATTGGCGGCACATGTTTTAATATAGTTGAAGTGAAACCACATTTGCGGAATTAAATTTTATTATGTTAATATATATATATATATATATATATCATCAAATTGAAATTGTAAACGTATAAAAGAACATTACTAAGTGAGAACTACCTAATCCTTCATAAAATACATTTACTTATTTTAAATAAATAAATCAATAAATTAAAAACTTTTAGTCCGATGAAGGAATTCCCAAAGCAGAAATCAGGCACAATAAATGAGCCATTGATTCCAAATTCGTTTCAGAAGTTTTCGGCAAAAAGAGGTGAAAAACGTGCGAACATAAAAAAGTGCGAATAGTCGCGAAAAAGGCTTCCTTACTTTGTAACACGTGTTAAGCATTTGATCAATTACGATTCATAATTAAAATTAGATAATTAGATTTATTTATGGACCTTATCATGTATATTATTGCGACCAAAGATTGTCTTTCAATTCGACTGCATTTAACTAAGATTCTTTTATAAACTTGAGCTTACTATTGGGTTGTCGTTATGCTGCGTCTTCAATCCACATTGATTGCCTCTAGTTTCAGCTCCCTAAACACATTCCTGAAGTGGTGAGTAGTTTCAGAGAAGTTTCAAATTCTGAGGGACTATAAGAAGCTTTGATCTTGTATCGAAAATTGAAAGTGGTGGATTGCCAATTTCTCTTTACATCGTTGATGAGTTCAACTTAAATTCGAATCCAAATTCTTCCATGAAATCTTTCAACTAAATCTGTATACTATGATTATAGCTTATATTTAATTTAAATCAATCGATGTATTTTCATTAACAACTAAAAATACCATTTTACCTGACAAAATGAACTGATAATACATCAATAACAAAATGGCAAGTTGATTCGTTAAAACTTTAACAAAGAATATTTAATTATTATAATTTCGTATCTTTGGTTTTGCTAAAAATAGGGACAGTTTTCTGTGAGTCTTATAACTTCTGACCATGCATCGCAGTTGGCAAGCTTTGACAGGGACAAGCATATTTTCTAATTACATACTTTTTTAATGAAAATTAAAAAGCATCATACCGTACTCCAGATCAGCAATAAGTAATTTTGAAAAGTTTACCAAACTACTTATTGCATTGGGTGATTGTACCTTGAGTATCATTGAGGCGATATCCACCACCCACGAATATCTTATCTGTTTCTCTCGTTTTTTTCAATCTTAGAGCTGCTCCTTCCATTAGTCATTCCATGAAGTATTGATTTTCTCTGCTCTTTAGCTACCTCTGCCAGAAGGCTTCCTTCTATTTACCCCTAATGGCCTCATACTGCCTCTTTTGTACAGTTGGCATAGGCGTTGTTTCAGCCTGCTCTGGTAGAAACCGTTCATCTTTCGACTGACCCCTCAATGTTGTAATTGAGCAAGTGTCAAACATTGCAAGTTCGCCACTATAGTCAGTTAAAAAAGATTGATTTATAAAAAAACACCTCCTCCGATGCATTGAAGAAACTGGAGGAGATTGAAGCAGTGAAATTCATTTTTTGATTTTATTTTTACAATATCCACTACACAATATTATAACAACGAATTCTCTGGTATTTCAAGTTTGCGGAAGAGAACCTATTAAAATCACTAAATTTTATGCTGCCACTTGATCTATTTTGTAAAATGTCAAATTTTAAGAAACCCTAATGAAAGTTCAAAGTATAAAATCTGCTTGTTTTAATTCTTTAAGTACTCAAGAATGCAATGTCTGCAGTGTCTAAATGGTTTCCTGGGTTGTTTACGCGCTCTGATTTTAACTTGTCAGGACAATTTCACATTCCACTCAGTGAATGTCTCTGCCTTCAAACATTTACCGCTTTTTAAAAGAAATCCAGTGAAATAAATCAAAATCCTATTTGGAGCTCCATCCTTTTAGAGCAATAAATTCAGGTAAAGTCTTGTGCTTTGTAAATATTCCAATCGCAAGTGTGGCCTTTTAAGCGACACTCTGTTCCCTCTTTTGCCGTTATACCACTGACTGTATCAAGAAATCCCCATTTTGTGTTAATAGCTGGGTTGCCAATGCTATTGCAAACTGACCCCAGATAATGAATATTTCTATGGTACTTATTAGAAACAGGAGCAATCAGGTATCGCTTATATTATTATATATAGTTGTCATACTGACTTGCTTGAAGTCGGTAGTCTAGTGGCATTGAGACACATCGAGATTGACCACTAAAATTTTAATATTTTTAAAATTTTCTTTTTTTTCAGAAGAGCTAATCATATTTGGAGGAATATACGTGCACTTTTTTCCGTATTTAAACGAAAATTGTGTAAGTTGTTATTTGAATGAATAAATAACCCTTCAGTTATGATAACTTACCGTCTTCGCTAACTTGAGCAATTATGCGAATCTGTGAGAAAGGCGGAAATGAAAGGAAAAAAATTGCTAATCGATATTTCAAGCAATCAATTAATAAGTATGATCTAGAAATTCAAGACACAATGTTCTAGCTTAGTTGGGCGTTGATCTCATTTGAGACACTTTGTAAATTTGAATGCTCTCTCGCTTATGAATGTTGACAACGGAATTTCATCCTTATGCCAGTGCGTTGCAATGCAAGGCATATTTAAATATTTCTTTAGTCTGTATCCACTCAGTCCGCTTCCTGTTACAATGTGAGTTGGTAAATTACGTTGACGCCATCTGTGAACAAATACTTTCTAACACTTCAGGTACATACATATTTCACTCTGTCCAATCTCCAGGCTCACTTTGTCCTGTCCTCAAAACCTCAATCCTATAGTTCTTTGCACATAACAGAAATATTCAAACTCGATACCTGATATTTTTAATATTCGATAAATTGGGCTGGTGAATTGGTGTCTAATTGATATGGCATTAGCCAACTCAAACTTTGCTCAAAGCAGCTAGCTTCATGCAGATCAAAAATCAGATCTTTATCTTACAGATGATTTGTATACAAAAACACGCCATAACTCCCAAGACCTACTAAAGACTATTTCGGATCATAATTTATTGAAGCACCATCAATTAATTACCCTAATATGCCTTTTATACCATCAAGAACCGGGGAGATTTAGAAAAGGTGTTCACATAAAAATAGGACCAAGATCAGCACTGACAGTTCCCGGTCTTCGAAGGAGTGAGTCAACACCTCGAGTCAAAGTTGTCAACTTTCTTCATACATTTTGTCAGAAAAGAGCACACAACTCTTTTACTGCCGAAGGAACTGCTGATCCTTAGGTTAAGGTGTATTTTAAGTGTCAACCTCTGAATTCTTGGTGTCATTAATTACGTGAGTGACTGAAATGTCCCAGTACACGATGCAATTATAATCTATAAACTAGCTAGCTTGTTAGCTATAAAAGAAAAAAAGGTGTGAAAGTATATTCACTGATTCGCATTTGTGAGAGGATATCGGAGTGAAGCGGAGATAATCGGACACGCCAATGGAAGGAGAGTTTTGACGTGGTCAACGGGTTTAAAACGCAACACTGTTGTGTAACTTTATTCATTCATTCAGTCTTGTGTTGTTTCAAATTCTCGTCATTGTTAACATGCCAATTTCGAATTAATCAAATTAGGGATATCTTGCGAGTTGGTATGAGATAGATGAGGAAACTGGCGAGGGGAGAGAGACAGCGAACTCACCAATGAAGTAAATGCAAATCAACAACGGGTGAGATATGAAAAACTTGATGACTTAGAAGGGTGGTGGTGGTGGGG